ACACACACACACCAGGGCTCTTGCTACACACACAGACACACCAGGTCTCCTGCTAACACACACACACACACACACACACACACACACTGCCATTGAGGCGGCCCTGACTCCCAGAGACCCTGGAGGGCAGAGCAGCGCTGCTCACAGGGTCCCACCTCCGCGGAGGCAGGCTGCTGCCGCTTTCTCCCGCTGAGCGGATGTGGGACTAGAACTGCTGACCTCGTGGGTCACAGTCTAGAACAACCTTCTAGACTAGGGGTGGCTCGCGACCCCTTTAGGGGTCGAACGACCCCTTCACAGGGGTTGCCCGATTCATCACAGTAGCAAAATGACAGTGATGACGTAGCAATGAAGATAATGTTATGGTTGGGGGTCACCACCCCATGAGGAACTGGGTGAAAGGGTCGGGCATGAGGGAGGTTGAGAACCACTGGTCTAGTGCTTAGCTGCTGTGCCCCTAGTGCCCCTCTTACAACCGAGGGGCTACAAGCAGTTTGTGGGGACAAATGGAACTGAAAGATCACGGAAGTTTCGCATGACCCGTGTAACGCCCTGTGGTTTCTCCCTACATACACGTCTCACTGGCTGCTCCTCTAGAGGACCCCTCCACTGCCCCCCCAAGACTTGGTTCTTTACTGTGGCTCAGCAGAGGGCGGAAATGAAGCGAACCCCAGTGTCCAAGACACAGAGAGGCTTTCACTTGGCGGCCTTAGGGTGCTGTCGGGGGAGGAGGGTGCTGCCTGCCCTTGCTCCGACACCTGCTGTGGTCTGGGTGCCAAAATGAGCAACAAAAGGCGGGCATGGAGATCTTGTGGAGATGTCCTGGCACGGGGGCAGGAGGCACACGACGACATCACACGAGGAAACTGTGTGTCAGCGTGTACCACCCGTGTACCACCTGTGGTCGTTCCATGATCTGGTGCCAATCTGAGGATTCAGAGCGAAGGGGTATAGTCTAGCCTGTCAATCAGGATGTAGCCAATGGGGCCTCTGTGTGGGCCTGGCCTTCTGAGGATTCTGGGAACTCCATATTTCCTCCTTGGAGGCGGGAGACACTCTCTCTGCTACATTTCTGATAAGAAGCCACATGAAGCTACCCTGATGCAGCCAGAACCCTGGGAGCTGGAGGAACCACGTGGAGACCCATGTCAGTGCTGAGATGCTTGTACTGCCACTGGATCCACAAGACTTCCCACTCACTGGTCTGTGGTCTTCCTGTATTCGGCATCATTGCATGTGTTTTGTGAGTCTGAAGAGGACTTTATAGATTGGTATCAGACATGGGCTAATATCGGACTTATGGACTTGATCTGCACTGGGCTGGGATATTTTCTTAATATTCAATTGCTCTTGTATATAAAGCTTTCTTTTTTTAAAAAAATCATTATATTGGGGGCTCATACAATGCTTATCACAATCCATACATCCATCCATTGTGTCAAGCACTTTTCTACAATTGAGCCCTTGGTATCAGCTTCTAATTTTTCTCCTCCCTCCCTACCTCCCCTCCATCATAAACCCTTGATAATTTATAAATTATCATTATTTTGTCATGTCTTACACTGTCCAGCATCTCCCTTCACCCACCTTTTTATTGTCTGTCCCCCAGGGAGGGGGTTATATGTAGATCCTTGTCATTGGTTCCACCTTTCTACCCCATCTTCCCTCCACCCTCCCAGTATCGCCACTCTCACCACTGGTCCTGAGGGGTTCATCTGTCCTGGATTCCCTGTGTTTCTAGTTCCTATCTGTGCCAGTGTACATCCTCTGGTCTAGCCAGATTTGTAAGGTAGAATTGGGATCATGGTACTGGGGCGAGGAAGAATTAAAGAACTAGAGGAAAGTTGTATGTTTCATCATTGCTACACTGCACCCTGACTGGCTCATCTCCTCCCCATGACCATTCTGTAAGGGGAGGTCCAATGGGCTACAGATGGGCTTTGGATCCCCACTCTGCCCTCCCCCTCATTCAAAATGACATGATTTTTTGTTCTTTGATGCCTGATAACT